AGGAGAGAAACAAAAGAGAGAAGTCCAAAAGAGAAGAGGTCTGAAGGAGAAGAATTTCCGTTTAGGGAAGGCAATAGCGTCAAAAACAGTGAGGTGGATTGGGAGCTCCATTCTTCTGGGTTTGTCTTAGGTATTTTTCTGCAACAGAGGAGTCTTTTTGGGGGGCAGCGAGGGGAATGATCTGGGTGTGATCTCGTGGGTGGGATTCCCCATATCGGACTCTGATTTGTTACCCAGAAAGCTCCGCCGTGCTTGTTTTTTTGTCTTTCTGTTTCTATGATCTGCTTTTATGATGTTTACGTTTGTAAGTGTTTCTGAAAATCAATGAAAGATAAAAAAAAGTTGTTCAGTTTGTTTTGTTTGATGGTTGTATTCCCCTTTATGTTAATAAATATTTTTTTTATTATTATTTGGAATGAATGTATTCCTCTCTGAGGGAGAGAGATGAACCCTAATTAAAGACTTGTTTTGTTTGGTGTTTGATCTATTTTGTACGTTTTGGGTGGATAGGTCATGTTTTGTGGGTCGGGTCAACCCGACCCAATCCAATAGATTAAAAAAAACTAAAAAGGTTAAAAAATAAAAAAAAATATATATTTAAATTTTATTAATTAATTAGGTGAGTTAGTTTAATTTATGATTAATGAAGTTAATAAATCTTAATTAAGATAAATTAATTATATTTATTGAATTTAATTTACCGAATAATTAGATTTATTTGATTAGTAAATGTGATTAATTAATTTTAATTAATTTTAATTAATGTTAAATTAATTATTCAATTGAACTAATTATCTTGATTAATTAATTTCAATCCTCAATTTTTTTTTAATTTTGGTCGAAGTCAAAGTCATCCTTTATTTTATCTCAATTTCACCCAAACGTTTTTATGATTAAGCAATTCAATCCCAAGGTATCAAACCTTTTTAAATCAGTCCTCCATGTTTTGAACTTAATCAAATCAGTTCATTTAATTTTTATTTGTGTTGTGGTACATGCATGTCTTTGATTGCATCCATTTCAATCCAAAATTAAAAAAAAAAAAAATGTTTTGATTTGGTTTATCCTTTTTTTTAAGTGTGCTTGTTAAGACTTAAATTTAAATATAATGAATAAGTTGAATTAAAACCCAATGTTAAAGTATGCAACCGTGTTTAAACGAAAAATTGTGAAGTGCGTGCATGCCTTTCCTCACTCCTAACTGAACCCCCAAATCCCGATCTCTGCGCAAACCTGTTTTAAGGTGACTCGTCTCACCTCATAATTTGGATGAGTGGTGACTCTTTTTCTTATATGTTTCACACTTAACTTAATGTTTTTAATTTTAAGTGCAGTCATCAACAGATTGGCGACTCCACTGGGGATCAAACCCAGAATCTCTGGTTTCCATATTTTGGGTTCACGAGGGTTGAGCTACTACTTTAACTTTGGGGATTTTTCAGCTTTCGATTTTCTTTGATTGTTGAGTCTTTGTGGGTCTTTGTCATTTATTGTATGTGCTCGTTGCTTGTTGCTTGTTTGCTCATTGTTTTAGTGGTTGCTTTGATTGTTTTTGCCTTTGAGTACTTACCTTGCTACATCTTGACATGCATTATACCTTGCTAACATGTTCATGCATCATATCATCTCACATGCTCATTCATCATTAAGGTTACCTGCTCATTCATCATGCATCATGCTTATATGCCTGTTTGCTTGTGTGTGGATATACTCACCTTTTACACTTGGCTATGGAGTACTTAGTGAGTCTCTTCCTTCTTATGCAATTATTTATATCTTGTTGCATGTTGAGTGTTGGTTGTTCTATGTACTAACCTTTTGCATTTGGCATGTCAGTACTAGGTGAGTCCCTTCCTGCTGTGTAAGTAGGTTTATTTGTGGATGCTATATTTGTTAAGTGTTTTAGATGCTTTATTTGCTTGCTGTGGGATATATGTTGCTATTTTTGTGGTTGCCATTATGCAGGTTATTGAAGTGTCATGCCCCTTGCACACACTTACCCTCATTTTGCATTAAGACCATGTTAGAGGTGAACTCGACCTCTAGTCTAGAATCCTTACGAATTTGGCTTGGAAGAGCAATTCTTCCTGCTTGGAGGAGTAAGACCGATTCCCGTTAGGTTGTTTTAATTGATTAATACAACACTTGATGATGTAATATCATCCTGTGTATTAGCTCTTGGAAATATCTCCCGTTGATTCTGAAAGGATAAATGGTTGAGAAGGCCTAATGCCCTTTAGGAAAACATGTAGTGGCCTTAGAGAGATACCAACCCTAAAACATGTTTCCCTTAGCATCCCACTTGTGAGGTTAGGGATCCCATGTCAAAGACACAAAGGGGCATTTTTCTTCACTAATTTGTCTTCGCATATGACAGGTTTTCGTTTTTATATACATTTGAGGTATGATTAATTATTCATCTTCTGCATTTAGACATCATTCTTGAGGTAAA